AATCTTTCATTCACCATGTCATTCATTGTATAGGATATTGTGTGCAATTTTAGGTGCACACTTCACCTTTGTCTGAAAGTGATTTACATCAAATACCGAATTACATGTAATAACTGGTTAAAAATACAGTCATTAATACTAATTATATATTTTCTTCTTTAAACAAGATGCCCAAAAAAGCAGCAGTAGACAAGGATGCTATTTTGGAAGTTCTCTGCTCATCAAAAGAGGCCATATTAAAAAATGGCAACATAGCCACTCCTAATGCCAGTGTATGGACAGAGCTGAGTGAGCACCTGGAAAATAAGATTTCTGCAAAGGCCCTGTACACTTTTGTTAAATTAAACAGACACAATGTTTGGTCAGTGTTAGGGTTCAGTGATCCTGAAACCAATGATGAGACAGAGTCTGAGACAAGTTCCCTTTCTTCTGGACTAAAGGCTTCTGATGCTTTCCAGCTTGAAATTCCATTTGAGAAATGGAAGGAATTTGTTCCAGAAAACATTGAATATAAAGACAAGTACTCTCCAACTCAAAAGAGAGAATACACAGTTTTGAAACCTGGCTCCTGGACTCATATTGTGAATGACCAGATTTGGAAGGCAATTAAAAGTACATGTACATTTGTATTTAAAAGAGCCAAGGTGTATCCATCAGCCACGAGTAATTACATTGTTATCAGAGGCTATTGTAAGGAGTGTCATGGACATCTTAGTATGACATGCAAGAGAGAGCCTGCAATGAACAACCCAATGGTGTTCAAATGCCACATTAGTAACAGTGATGACTCCAAGCACACTGGAAGGTCCAAGCGTTTATTGTCAGCTACGTTTGCAAGTAGCCAAAGAACTGAGTGAGGGCAGAAAGGAAGCCCATGTATGGCGGGCATCACAGGCAACAAAGCTGATGGACTTTGGAGATCCTGAGCCAAGCCATCTACCCAATTTGGCCACCCTGCGAAAAGCAAAGCAACAGAGGAACAACTTGGAATTAGCTGACAAAGATCCAATTTTGTCACTGCAGCTGTTAAAATATAGTGCACCTCACAGTGGTAGCATTAGAGACATTGGCCTGGACAAGTTTTTCTGTCCCTACTGGAGTCAAACCCAAATGCATGTGTATAAAACATTATCAAAGAAATCTCACCACACAGTGTGTTTTGATGCAACAGGCTCCGTAGTCAGGAAACTGGTGAGACCAAATGGCTCATCTGGGCACATCTTCCTGTATCAGGGCGTTCTGACAGGGCATAATAGCTCAAGTGTCCCTGTGGTACAGATGTTGTCAGAGAGACATGATACTAATCACACAGTGGCTGACAGAATGGATTCGTGCAGGAGCACCAATTCCCAAAGAAGTTGTCAGTGATTTTTCTCTGGCCTTGCTTGGGGCTTTGGTCAAGGCTTTTACTCCTCACCCTGACCTGAAGTCTTATATCAATGAGTGCTTTGGTGTCTTACTTGGGAAACGGTCTGCAAAACTGCCCTCTTGTTTTGTCAGGGTTGATGTAGCACACTGCATCAAAATGATCTGCCAGTGGGACTGCCTGAAAAACAAAACACATCGCATTAAAGATTTTTTCGTGAGGTCAATAGTACAGCTGCTTAAATCACAGTCTCTGAACCATGCTAAAGAGCTAATACGTGCTATCACTATTGTGGCACTGAGCGAGGCAGAAGGCAATGACAGTTCCGGAGCACCTCTCACATCAGAAAGGTGCAAGAACTACCTGAAAGCTCAAATTGCAGAAGAGTCAGTCTTCATTCCAGAGGAGGTAGAGGAAGAGAAACTGGAACAAGTGAATCTCTGTGATGAAATACACACTGACCTACAGCAGTGGGTTACAGAAATTTGTGATGAGAGCAGGTCACTTGCCATGGCTGATGGGGATAGAGATAATATGCACTACCTCCCTGAGATCATTCCCCATATAATAAGACTTGTACGTTACTTACCACTCTGGACAGGGATAATGGTCCCTCTCTTCCAAAGCACCAATGTCACTTCAAGTTCAGCTGCAGTTGAAGCAGAGTTCAAAAACATCAAACATGGACTTTTCAAGCATGAAAATTTACCTATTTGTGTGGATTGATTCATTGCTCGTCATCTGTCCTTCGTTGAAGGAAACATGCGGATTTGTTTTGCAAAACAACAAGGTGAAGAGGATGCAGCTATTGGAACAGTGACTGTGACGTCAGCCAATCCATTACCCACTATTAGTACAGAAGGGAACAAAAAAATGGAAGCTGTACCTGGTGAGGTATCTAATGCTGCCACAAGTATCCATCCAACAGATGAAGAACCTGTTGAAAACTGGAGAGGCCTAGGTGTTCCACCCAAAAAAAGGAGGAGGGATTCCTACCTCTTCCCTTGCCCTGAATGGCTCCATGCAGATCCATCTGTTAGGGGGAAAAGAGTCAAAGTAGAGTTGTTAAAAAATGGAAACAATCAACAGCCTGTTAAACTCAGGAAATCAAGAGTCTCTCTGCTGAACACATGTGCATTTGATGCTTTTTGTCAGTGCTTATGTTGCGCTTTCTGTGACAGTCTTACTTTTCAGAACATTACTAACAATGAAGAATGTGACAATCGAGTCCTCCAGCTGGTGAAAGCGATTGCCACAAAAGGTGTGACCCAGCAGGCTTACTTACAGAGAGCAGAGCTGCTAAGTGAAATATTCACAGGTGTCCAGTTGAAGTCTGGTGACCTTCAAGTTGATGCACAGTGCCACATCTCAACAGTAATACAGAAGACAATGAGGAACATTGTACAACAAGTGTATATTTTTCAAAACAGTGTTCTTCACAGTACTGCAATCTTAGCACATGGATCACAAGGGAAGTTCCATTTCTTTCCACTTCCATTGCTGCCCTGCAGGATTTTGGCATTTCTTAACTGGAGTCTATAGTGGAACAATCACTAAATCTTCAGGAGTCAGTCTGTCTCAGGCCAATCCAGAATCCATCTCAGTGCCCATCTGCACTCAAAAATGAAGACCACACCCCAGGAAAAGCACTCTGCGCAGGGAAAGTTACACACAGTTACAGTGTGGGAGAACTTGTGTGGATTGACACTGACCTTGGAAGCCATTTCACAGCAGCTCCAGCAAAAAAGAATTCCCAGAGAGGCTTCCCCTTGGGTGAATTTCCTTCCAATCTGGTGTTGCAAGGAGAAACATATACTTTGAGGGCAATCATTGCTTTCCAGGAAGGACCGACCCAGGATGCACTTGACTTGGACACATTATGTGTCTTACTGCAAGAGAGCTCCATGTGTCTGGGAGATGTATGATGATCTGCAAAGTGTTGTGACAGCAGCATCAGAAAAAACAATAATCTGCCCACCTGCTGTGCTGTACACAAAAGAGTGATCACATAGCAGGATCAGGAGTTATTCATCCCTCAACAGGGAAATTTCCATGCACTTAAAACATTTCTTACTGTGGTTTTAGGTTTTGCTGTGTTGTTACTGTTTATTGCTCTGTTGTTACTGTTCATCAGTATTACTCTGTTTTTACTGCTTATCATTATTGCTCTGTTGTTACAGTATTCCTCTGTTAGTGTTATATTTTCAAAAGAATGCACATTAAATCAATTTCGAAATTGTATTTTTTTTAATACAGGCAATCACCAGTGTGGATTCAACAACAATTGCACCTTATGCACTCACATAAGATATGGTAGCTTCAACTTCGGCTGACTACAGCTCATAAAAATGACATTACAAAATATTATATCATAGCATGGACAATGAATTAATGACCCACCTTATCTGACTTTAGCACTTTGTTTTGTAGAGCTGCTGAGTGACATAATCAAATTAATCCTAAAACAAGGGTAGCACAAAAGAAAAAGTTTACCGTATGAAACAGCACATACCGTTGTCGCTTGTGTTAGAGGAATTTGGTTACTAAATTATCAAAGACCTACTTGTATCGGTTGTAGCCAGACCACAGGTTGAAACCAGACATCTACAAATGTTTGTACTCCGCGATGCCTGGAGGCGGAGGCGTCATAGCGTCCTCGCGACCATTCACTTCCGAGCACGTGGAGGGATGAAGTGACGTCATCAGAAATGAAAGCTGTAATATCTCAAATACTGTAACAGCACAAACGAAACTTTTTGCACCACAAACCAGCACAAATGAAGCACAAACGGACGACACCACTTTTGTCCAATTTGGAGCTATCTGGGGGGCTGAGTGACCTGTGGATGACCCCTAAAGATATAGTTTAATATCTCAAATACCGTAACAGCACAAACAAAACTTTTTGCAGCACAAACCAGGACAAACGGATGACACCACTTTTGTCCAATTTGGAGCTATCTGGGGGGCTGAGTGGCCTGTGGATGACCCCCAAAGATATTGTTTAATATCTCAAATACCGTAACAGCACAAACGAAGCTTTTTGCAGCACAAACCAGCACAAACGAAGCACAAAGAATTCTGAAGAACTGAGAAACAGGAGTGGAAGACCAAGAAAACAAAATCTGATGAGAAATTTCACAGCTTCTTTTCTGAGAGACCAGAGGAAACCCAGCAGGGACCTGGTTCAGCCTCTGGCAGCTTTATCTGGATGCCAAGTGGATCCTTCCACAGTCTGAAGAAGCTCGATCACGAATGGCCTTTGTGGAATGATGGCAGCCAGGAAACCAGTTTTTCAGAAGGGGGACCGGGAGAAAAGACTGAGATATGCAAAAGTTGGCAAAAACTGGAGTGAAGATCAGTGGAACAGAGGAATATGGAGCAATGAATGTAAGTTTGAAATGCTTGGGTCCAGTCGTGGACAGTAAGTGAGACAGAGAATTGGAGAGAGGTGGACAAGTGTAACAGTCTTCAGTGAAACATGGTTGAGGCTCTGTCACGGCTTCAACGCTTCAAGACCATAACCCCAAAACTGATACCCTGCTCCAATTCTCTGAAAAGAAATACTTTCAAAACCACAAACAGTATTCAATAGAAATATCCTGTTCTTTCTGGCCTGCTAACATCTGAGGGATTCATGTGAAAACAAGACGCTGTCAGAAAGACAATGGCGTTTCAGGTTCAGCAGGGTTTTTGACAGAGTCTACTGAAGGCATCACAGACGCCACAGGATAACACACTTTACATGTCCACAGTTCTCCTGAACCTCAAATGTCATCTTCAAGCCCAATAAGCTGACTGACACTCACAGCTGGTGAGAATTTAAAAGGACTCAGCTGACCGCTGCACAGATCTGTGCTGACGTGAGTCTGAACTAAAAAAAGGAAACATTTCATTGAGTTGAGTGTGTGAACTGCCTCCTACAAATCTGTCTTAAAGTTTAGTCAGAACTAACACACAAAACATGGTACTGTTCTTGACCACACTGAGCACGTCACTCAATCGTTCACTGTGCGCATTGGAAACAGCATGTGAACCCCTCGGCTAATGACATCAACAAAAGCCAAGTGGAGTCAGGAGTCAGACACCTGGAGGTTCGCTGCTGTACCAGCACATGACGCTGCCAACTGGAAGTGTCTTGGAAATCTTCCTGAACCCACAGCCTTGTAGGTGTAATGGAATATTTTCACCTCATCTTTTTCTTTGCCTTGTTTGCAGTTTAGCTTGAACACCTGCGTTGGCGGGGTTTACAGCATCTCTGCATCTAAGCTGAAGCAAAGCCAGTGTTGGTAAAGAGTTCCCAAAAGCCTAACTGCATTCTGCAGCCTAACACACTAGTACATGATTAATCAACAGCAATAGTACCATAAATGGGGTTTAATAATTATGACAAGGCCATAATAGAAAAAAATCCTGATACTCTAAAAGACTGTTACTCATTCTCATTATCAAGTTGAAGTCATTCAACTCCTGCAAATTAGAAAAACTGTAGACCCTCGAAAAACCCTTTGTTTTGTTTTCTATAATCATGTTTGGTGTTATGTCTGTGTGTTTTGTCTGTGACTGTTAATGCTGCTGTCGGGCCAGGGCTCCTTTGCAAAGCAGGTTGTAAACCTCAGTGGGATTTTACCTGGTAAAATAAATAGTAAATAAATAAATAGGATAAAAACTAAATAAAATGTGTGTGTAAACCCTAGCATACTCATTAGTGTCGAATAACTGTGAGTGTTCCCGAAGCTTTTCACTATTTCTTTAAAGCGAGAGGACTGAGGGTAAGTCTGTCCAGTACCTGTAGGGACATCTATTCAGACCAGCCAGTACACTCAAACCAAACACAGCATCCTCGCAGTGTCTGCTGTGAACTCAGTGGTATGTGGATCCCAGCTGTGCCTCTGTTCCTCCCTCCCTCCATCAGTTCACACTCTATGAGGGAGCCAGGCCTCTGACCTGACACAGCGCACCACATCGCACATGCCTTGCTCACCTCCAGCTGCACCTCCCGTCCCTACGCACCGCAGCATGTACCCTCTCCTAACATTCATGTTGATTATTGAATGTTTCCTCCTTGTTTCATTTTGATACCGTTTTCCTTTGTCTCCTACTGTTTCGTCTCTCCTCCCCTGCACCACACCCCCTCTCCTCTCTGTCAGCCTGTCTGATATCGAACGGGCCATTGATCAGAGACAGAAATCAGATGCATTAATGTGATGGGATTAGCAGGGGACTCTGCTGACAGCCCTAGAATGACTTTCCCCTGACTGCTCAGATCCTTAGACAGGCATCTACGCCTGCAAAATCACTCTTAAATGGGTGTTCAAAGGCACCTAGATTCAAGAGGTACATCCAAATGCTTGGGTAAAGCCAAAGAAGCTGAAGCCACAACGTGTCTACAACTGACTACCCATGTCCCTCAGTCTTTATTGGTCTCTCACCTCATGGTGAGTGAAAGCAGAGGAAGCAACTACAGGCTGCAGAGGCCTGGGTTATGTCTGCCCAGCATCGTCAGCAATCCCAGGAAGGGTATGACGGACATAAGGGCCCAGGCTGTGTGTGTGCATGTGGTCTTTGACTCACCATAAAATGTGGCTAGGTCAGTATCCGTCTGAGCTCTTTAGCTTCGTGATTCTCTGGGTAGCAGGAGATCTCTCCCAGTGCCTGGGGGTGTAGAGAAACAAAGGCATCACAACAGTTTGCTTAAAGCCACAGTTTTTCTTCTTCTTTACTCACAAATCATATATCCATACACAGTGAAGCATAAGCACCCTACTGAACCTGCTGCACTTTGAACAGCCTGTGACACACGACCAAACAACCTCACAGTCCCCTTCAACCTTCCCTAACACCGCCTTCAACATCTCTGCAGTCAATGTGAGGCTGACTTTGGACACCACTCATCGACTCTAAGAAACTGCTCAAGGCTTTGCCTCTCCTCCTGCCCTTTTGACGTGACTTCATGTGAGCTCCGATTATGTTGCCCCTGACTGGTGAATGTGGCATTGTGGAGGTGAGGCCTCTGAGGAGGTTGTGTGTGATTTCTACTGAAACTGGCATTGTGGAGCTACGATGCACTCTCTTCTTCATGCACGCTTGTTATTCAGAGGAATGTGTAGCTTATGAATGTGTGCATCCTGGTATTCATCATCTCTAAACTCTAATAGCCACATTTATTGGTTACACTCAAGAGCCAGCACTGAATCAAACCCATGTCAGCAGTCTGATGAATGCTCACACCTAAACCCCATTTGGATTGGATAAACATTACAGGGGAAGGTGGGGAATGATATACTCACTGCAATCAGTTTGAGTCACAGTGGTTGGGTTGAGTCAGTCTGCTGTGATTTTGCTCACTCTCTCCAAATCACCACCAATATTTTTACACTAGAAACCAAGCCAACTAGCTTGGCCTTATGTTCTACTCATTAGTATAGTAAACAGGGCAGAAGTGTGGTGTCTTACATATTCCAGATGTTTCAAAGCGCCACTTGCTTCGTCTTGGGAAGAACTCTTAAGTCAAGGAAGACAAAGGAAGAAGGGTTATATAGGCTATTGGCTGTTTTTTAGAGAGTTTAACGGCCAGTGATGACAGAGGTCAGGGGAGAGCACAACTCCACGTGTTCCTTTATTCAATGCCAGCCCACGTGAATTAGGAGGGGTTGTGAGATTAGAGATTAGTATCTACAACCATCTCCGTTAGTATTTTCATTGAGCCTCTAGCAGCGGCTATATGACAGAACAATATAATTAAAGGAATACAAGATCTTACTCAGAACATAAAATTAGTCTTTATGCAGATGGTTTATTATTTATTATTATATTTACAGGATCCCTATAATTCTGTAAAGGGACCTTTACACATTATTAACACATTCTCTAAGATCTCAAACTATACAATAAATTGTAATAAATCCACCATACTGCCACTCTCTGAGGATGCCTGGGATTCTGCAGCTTGGTATTAATATCTCTCCCAGGCTGTCAGAACTGTTTAATCTCAACTATAACCCCCCTTGCTAAAAAAACATAAAAGATGATTTCAAACGCTGGTTCAGTCTTCCTCTCTCACTCATTGGTCAAATTGCTACTGTCAAAATGAAAACTCTACCTTAAATTAACTACCTGTTTACAATGCTTCCCACAACACCAACAGATAAATGGTTTAAATCACTTGATTCTATAACTTCACAATTTTATTGGAAAAACAAGAAACCCAAAATTTCCCTATCTACACTCCAAAAGAAGAAATCACTAGGTGGCCTAGAAGCACCAAATTTCCTATATTACTACTTGGCACATCAGCTACAGTATTTAGTCAAATGGATCCTGAAGGACAGTTACAACAGTGCATGGATAGAATTAGAGCAAAATTACTCCAAAAATAATCCAAATAACTCAGTTGCAGACCTTCCTTTTCTACCAAACTCTATTAAGAAAATGAAGCACTGTAAGAACATCACAATCCTCTCAACTCTGACAGCCTGGTGGAAAACAAACAAAGTCACTAAATCATCACTTGCACCATGTAGATACACTCCAATTTGGCACAACCGTGATTATCAGCTGCATAATAACCCTATCTATTTCCGAACATGGCAACACAAAGGAATCACTCACTTACTTCACCTATTTGGAAATAACCAGTTCATATGATTTAATACACTGATCCAGAAGAAAATTACAAATTCCAAGACAATAATATCCATCCAT